ATATTCGGAACGTCGTGCACACCAATAACCTTCAATACACAAGCACATTGCATCTCAGTATTTAGTTGGAGATCTACTGCAGAAACCAAAACAAAACACTGGCGTTGTATGAGATATGCAACAAAAATGTTTTCTAAACTGTTAGAAAAAAACTTTAAGTGTAAATCGAAATCATCAGAAAAAACGCAAAGAAGCAAAATTCCCCAATCGATCGGTAATTCAGAATTTTACCTGTTCAGGCTCAACCATACCGAAGGCAGCGATCTTATCTCTGAGTGCTTTCGTCAAAGGTTTCTCACTTCGACACATCAACACGTCGGGTATCAAACCACTTGCACGCAGATTTCGAACGCTGTTCTGCATCGGCTTCGTCTTCGGTTCACCTGTCGTCTTTGGCTCGAGTACCAGCGAGACATGCACTGAAAGCAATTAACCCATCGAATAGGTTTCATCTGCCAGAGGGCTTTTTTAGTTTTAAATTCGAGCATGAGAACATTTGAAAGCTAATTACAAGACCTGTCATATTACCTGTCATAAGATGATCTCGATAGGCTGGACGTTGGAATTTTTCAAAAGCCGCAATGAATGGCATTCCCTCAATATCACCAATCGTTCCACCAAGCTGAGTACAGAACAGATCACATAAACTGTACACTGAGAAATGAGAGAAGAACATAACTGCAAAACATACCTCAATGATGCACACTTCGGGTCTTTCGTTGGTACCATCCACGGGTATTGCGGCCACTCGTTCAATCCAATCAATGATAGCACCGGTGATATGCGGGATTGTTTGTACCGTCTTACCCAAGTAATCACCTCGCCTCTCACGTTCAATTACCTGAATTTTAAAGTGAACTAGAAAATCTCTAATCAGCATTCCCAATCACATTCCTCTAATGTTTCCACAAGCAACGGTCATCTACTTGGTTATCGCTACTGATGAAACTTCCTTGATCGAGTGTCTTAATAAACGCAAATAAGAAACTGAAGAAGAGCATCACGCATTCAAAATAAACTCCAGCTCAACTCAAACCACTGACATTAAGACTAGAGCAGGGAAGTGTTGATAAATTTTGATAAATTTTTCTTGATAAACACTGACATGTTGATAAATTTTTCCGGTGGTAATATTATTGTCACGCGTTAATCGTATATTCAAAAAACGCTCATAATTACCCAAATCCAGATCCACCTCACCGCCATCATCCAGCACAAACACTTCACCTAAAATAAACTAACAATATTTTCGAGAATTCAGTGCATTCGCACTTGATCATCACAAAACCAAAATGTTTACCAAATGTCAAAATTAAACTATCGATCGCGAACAACATACCATGCTCATATGGTGAGAATGTACCAGCATCAATGTTGATGTAAGGATCGATCTTGATCGCTGATACACGATATCCATGTGCTCTGAGAAGAACACCTAGACCCGACGAGATGATTCCCTTGCCAACGCCACTGATCACACCACCCGTTACTAGGATCATCTTGACGGGTGGCGCTTGAGCTGGGGCTCGTGCAGACGTCCGTGGATCCATTACTCGCTCGGCGTTTGGTTATTCTTAAACAACTTCACAAAACTATATTGATGGGTTAAACGAAACGCGTCGATCATCCGCCGATATTTCTAATAATGGCCATTGCACGAATCCTACGAGAATCTTTACTTTCATAAAGTGGGAAAACGATCTGCAAATTTGTGCACTACTTTTTGTCAAGGACGAATTATAACTGCCGAAAAATAACTTGCAAATTTATTATTTTCGTTCATCCAATGACCACCAAAAAATCAGTGCACTGTAAATGCAACTTCAATTGATCGAATTTTCAAGAAAAAGTACAGAAAAACATATATTCCATATAATAGCTTCGAGTCTATGAGGGCATTAATCATCCTAACTTCCTATATTGCGGCCAAACACTGATTATGAATGGTAAACATCGCATCAACTCAATGACACAAGAAGTTGGTCACGTGAACGAATAAAATCTAGAGTAGTTTATTGCTTATCATTAATTAGTATGATATTGACGAGGACGACGTCATTTGATGATTGATTGACATTTTATTAAGCAACCGAGTAAAAATACAGCAAGAAAGCAGTGTTCTCATTCATAAAACTGAGCATTCCTTGAGAAATACAGCCTAAATTTTCAACAATTAACTCGCATTCTCAAATCAAATAACACAAAAAAGACACCCTCAAAGAGACCAAAACGACTCCACATTTCAATTCCATAACTCCGAAGGACTTTCCTCGAATGGGATACACAGTAGCATTTGCGACTAGCAAAACTCACTAATAACATGCAGGCAACACCTCTATAATTTCAAGCAAATCTGGCGTAATCCATTCGAATAAACATCGGATCTGAGCCAACCATTAAAGTTCATTGGAATCATCACAACTTCAGGATTAAAAATTTTCGAAAGAACACAATTGCTATTGTAAAATTTCTACTCGCACCACAAATTCCTATCTTACCTCATCACTTATAAAATGAAACAATATCGTCGTATCTTATCTGATGAAGACTCGTAAAATAAAATTTCAAAAATTAATTTTGTTTGCTGTTGAAAGTTGCTAAATTAAAAAAAATCATTTTGTTTGCCGTTGAAATTTGCTTGTTTGTTAAGCGATCATATGAACAAATCAAACGGAAATGATGAGTGCTGGTTATAAAAGTTTCATAATATGTAATTCGTCACACACACTGATAACAAAACAGAAGCATGATAATAATTCATATCGTCTAGTTATACGCCATACCAACCAATCGAACAAACACAAACCAATTAAAGCGAACGCAAAGAATTTATCAACCTCTGAATCAATGTAAAATCAAATCAATTCATTCACAAATACACAACATAACAATGAGAATATTTCGAATAATTCTAACAGAAACAATTCTACACTCATTATTATACAATAATCGAACAATACAATTTGTAAGTTACACGGCACAGATGAGTGTCTTCTATCGAGCACATTAACACTACATAGCCAGACTAGTGCTGGGTTTTGGTATGCTATCGGCTTCTGCGAATGGTATCCTGATGGCTGCTGGTCCCACATTCCACGCTTCAACTTTCGTCGGTAACTCTCTTCCGTACAGATCCAGCCACACTTCGGGATTCGCTTCGTCATAGATTGATTTCGCTTTCTTCGGTGGATCAATCTGCGAATATACTTATAGATGAATGCAACTGACTACCTGATAGGGTTTATGACACTGTAAGAATAATCACTGATTCTTTATTATTATCAACTAAGAGAGCTTTCTATTATTATCGACTAAGATAACTTTCGAAAAACAACTTTTTAACTAATTATCAACTAAGCATTAACCTTTTTAATGAAAGGTCTGAGCATCTCGAATTCGGGATCGATACAAACGTCCAGCGGAGCTCGTTCTTGTGCTTCGGTGAACGTCAGTCCGTTCTTTTTGGCGTACTTTTTGGCCAAAAGAATCTTCAAAATGAATTACATTACATTCGAAATAACAATTTTCACTTGATCAACTCAATCAAAAGATTCATCTCGTTTAATGCTACCTACCTGTAAAGGTGGCAGTGGGAAACTGTTCGGCACAAGAATATCACCCATCGGCTCATCACATTTCATAAATTCCTCTTCTTCACGCTTATGAATTAATCGCCAATCTGAAACAAAAATCGACTTACATCGATACTGAACGGATCAACTTTGCATTCGTTATGATCGCCGATAATTACCAGCAATCACTGAATTGCACTCAACCAATGATAGTATCAACAGTATTCACCAGAACGATTCAAATCCGAGCTGAACTCATACAATCCTAAATTCCGTCCTCGGAATGTCCACTCAGCCCATACGCTTCCACCATATAACCAGCGATCCATTTGTGGACGAGCCTTAACAATGAAAC